GAAATGTAACGCCCCTTACCATAATCGCGAGCTTCATCTTTCAAAATAAATGTAAAGACAGAGCCCGAAAGGGGAACAGAGTCGCGTGACAGACACCGTGATGAAGCTGGTATGTGTTTGTGATGTGACCCCCTCTCTCTCTCTCTAGCTCTCTCGCGTTCTCTCTCTCGCGTTCTCTCTCTCGCGCTCTCTCTCTCTCGCGCTCGCTCGCTCGCGCGCACACACACACACACACACACACACACAAATCGCATCATATGACCCCTTTAACTATGAAAAAAGTAAATTTTACTGAACTCATTAAGGCTTCTAAACTATGGAAAAAAAATATTAAAAATAAAATTGTATTTTTACTGAGAACTCAATCCTAAGTGATAAAAACATTTAGCATTTATTTATACTGAGAACTCAAAGCCTTTTAAAATATAAAGAAATTCAAATAAAAGTAATTCTAAACTGTGAGATATATATATAAAATAAATATATAAAAAAAAATATGAAACTATGAAAAATTTACTAAAAAATAAAATATATTTTTTACTATTATTCATTAATCCTAAACTGAAAACATTAAAATAAGAATAAAATGTTTTTCCTGAGAACTCATTAAGCTTTCTAAACTATGAAAAAACTATTAAAATGTTCATATTTACTAAGAACTCATTAAAGCTTCTAAACTTAAACGATAGTAAACAAAACGGAATAATCAACAAAAAAGACCCCATGATGCGCATCAGGTGCAGCTTTTTTCCTTTTAACATTTCTCATTGAAATCAGAAATTGCATCGGGACATATTGAAGGGTTGGTTTCTTTTTTAATTATAGCCAATAACCTTTAGTTTGTCACAACCTGGAAAAACCACATTCGACAGCTTTACTTTGCTGTTGCTAATTGAAGGCAGTTTGATTTCATGGGGTCTTTAAAAAAAGTAACATAATTAAGAAGGATAAAGTTGAGAAATAATGTGTCTGTCTGTCTGTCAGGACGGTGGAGCGTCTGGGAATCCTGACCGGCGCTCAGCTCTTCTCTCTGAATAAAGATAACCTGAAGGCTGTGTGTGGAGACGAGGGATCTCGCGTCTACAGCCAGATCACCGTCCAGAAATCACAACTAGAGGTCAGAAACACTTCATCATCCACAATATGATACATGTAGAGAGATAGATGTACTGCTAAACAGTGCACTAAACACCACAGAACTCTTCTCATTTGTCTTTTCTCCCTCCATCAGAAGAGTCGAGGAGATTCGGAACTGCAGGAGATTCTGATTAAACAGCAAGAGAAAATTGCATCTACCTAAATGCTCACATGGACTGTCAATCAAACGGTCACCTGGCAACAGTAACCATCAACTAATTTATCCACACACATTATCTTGTTCATGCTGGAAAATAGTTGTAAGCTTATACGACTCTCTAGTGCATGGAAACAATATATCGGTGAGTCTCATGAAAACATGTACAGGTCACGCTTCAAAATAAGAAAAATTAAACCATGATAAAAATAAAGACTATTTTAGGACCATTAATGTTTTTTGTTGTTTTTGAATGTCATTTTAACCACCATTGCTCAAAGTAACATTTTTACGTAATTTTCAATAAAGATTAATAATAATAATAAAAAAAAAAGTAGGGGAAAAAAATAATCAGCATAAATGAAAATCAGTACAATGACTTTTCACCTCAAAAACAAAAGGATTATTATAGAAATAGACTATTTTAGGATCATTAACATTTTTGCGTCATTTGTCAATTTCTCAAAGTACTGCAGCCATTTTCTTGAGTTTTTGTAATTCTCAATGGATTCATTCAAAAATACATAAACAATATCAGTATAAATGAAAAGCAATACAACAATTTCTATCATGTATTCATGTTTTACAATTAAAAAACAATCACATTACAGTAATTCAAAAAAGTTTTAAAGTTGGTGAAATTCAAAACAGTGCAACAAATGTAATGTAATTTAAGCAAAATAAACAATATTTCTTGTGATTATATGTGAACCGTACATGTTTTACAGGTGAGATTCACCCGTGTCCATAAGATTGAGCGGAGTGAATGTTTTCTGGGGTTTGATGTATGATTGCATCTGTGACGTTGGTTTTTGAAAGAAAGTAAATGTAAATAATGTGCTAAATTCAGTCTCATCACACGTTCTGATGCTGATCGTTATGACGAATGAATGACGCGAGAACAGTAGATATATCAGCTGGATTTCATGCATGTCTTTCCTTCGTCAACACTGTATACGGAACAAGTGTTTTAATTTGTATAAAGGGCATTTAGAGATTTTGATCCTTCAGTATGTGGTTCAATCACAATAGAGACACTTGAAAAAGACACACAGATGAGGTTTAATCAGTTTAATTGGTTACCAGTAGTAGGAAATCATGTCATATAAAACCAGAAGTACAACCTCTTAGTATTATCCTGCTAGTTTCTCCAAATGTTATTTATAAAAACAAAATCACTGTTGTAAATTTAAGAAATAAAGTGACTGCTAAAAGACTGTGCCTCAGAAATTATCCTCAAAATATTCAATGCATCTAGCAACTATGCAAATTTAAATTTCAGCGATTGTAATCCAGCAATCACACGACTTTCAGGAACAATCAAGCATGTTCATGCACCTTCAGATACATTCTTTATTAGGAGCAAGACCCACATCTCTCTGATCAGTCTCTTTAAAACACATTCAAAGTGCCACAATTACCCTTTAAATATCAAAAACAAAAGTGCTACGCATCATTTTAGCAATCTGATTGACTGGTCTTTTAGTTAGGAGACTTTTTAATGTCTAGTCTGCGACATGCTCTCTCTGATTTGTAGATTCTGCTCAGCTTTTCATAAAAAAAAAAAAAAATGCAAACAGAAGTGAGATTTTATTTGTTGAGGTACGCATCCAGCCAGAGTTCTCCAGATTTTTCCAAAGACCTGAGAGGAGAGTAATGGAACAGTTAGTGCTGAAGCATCTGCCAGTATATGCGCACAAAATATGAATAAGTATGAATCATTCATATATAGAACACTTCACAATCCAGTCAATTCCCAGATGGATAAAATCAACTCCCACTCTACATTTTTCCTGGTTTCTCTCAGTAAATGCCTTGTTAACCCTCCTGTTGTGTGCAAAAACTGGGTTAAACTTTTGTGTTTGGGATAAAATTGACCCACATTGGTTTCTATGCAATTTATAAATAAAGTAGGGCAGTCACGAGTCCTCGATTAAATTAGAGTACATAAAAAAGAAAAAAAAAGCTTAGATTGCATTTTGCCCGTGTCAATTAACCAGCAAAATACCGGAAATGGTGCATTCCACGGACAAGAATCCATGAAAAGCATTATTAGACTGTTTTCCAAGGCTGCACAAAATATTAAAAACATTTAAAAATCACAATAAAGCATAGTCAATCCGTTCACAGTAAATGCTGCTCCACACAAACGGTTATCATTTACATGTGGAGCGTCTCAAACTCCATCTCTGCATATGCTGTGAGTCGGAGTTGCTTATAACGTTCATCTGCAAACAATGTGCACATTTCTATCAGATTTAAGGTCATTTATAAACCTACGCCAACACAGGAGAATACAGCATTCTTTCTCAATATGCTAAATGTTCATCGAAACTTCAAAATAAAAAAAAGTTTAAACCCTCGCTCTGAGTTTGCATGTTTTGATGTCCACATGTTCTTCTAATATCAAAGGCATTTGAATTAAATGTTGTTTAGTCAATATTAAACAAGAATTCGATCGCATGTAAGTGTAAAAACAATCGTCAAGGCCGTTGGCGCCTTCTGCAGGCATTTGATATGTACATTATGTATTATAAGTTATGATTATATTGTTTTATGACATTATGTATTTTAGCTGTTTTGTTCAAAACATATGATTAATTGCTTTTCATATTTTATTTGAACCAATTATTATTGCCTCATTGTGGGTCAATGGGGGTGTCAGTAAGACCCAAACACAAAGTCAGAACAAAATTTGTGCAGCCTTTCCAAAATACGTCTGTCGAAACTTTGCATGAACATTCATGACCCTAAATGAGAAATAGTCACCAAATTTCAAGAAAAAATAAACCGGTTAAGCAGTATTTCAAGCAGTTTGAAAAATCAAGTGTGGCCCAAATTGACCCCAACGGACCGTTAAATTGGTTGTCAATGTTGTTTCATGTTATATAGGAATAGTTCAGAGCAAAAGCTTCTTTTGAAGGTGAAACCGTGAGTTTTCAGGTGTGCGTCATACCTGATGATGTCCGCAAAGGCCCCGTACAAGGTCTTCTCTTGGTACTTGACTCCGTATTTGTCACACAACGCTCGCGCGTGTGGAGCGGCGCGCCAGTAATTGTGCCGAGGCATTGTGGGAAAGAGACTGGGACAAGAACAAAGCACAGTTGTGAAATGCCGAAGATAAACTGAAGCCATTTTTGCACTGAAAGCACTTTTGTTTTTCTTACTGGTGCTCGATCTGAAAGTTGAGGTGTCCGCTGAACCAGTCGTTGAAGGGGGATTGCTCGATGTTACAGGTTGCAACCAGCTAAATTACAGAAATGCATAGAATTGGCATGGTAGAATGACTTAAACCCAGTGCGGCTGTTACGACTCAGAATGTACCTGCATGCTAAGCCAGTCTTGGTGTTTCTCGTAGTCGATGTTCATGGGGATGTGGCTCATCTGGGTCACCCACACAAACCAGTGACTCTCCATGAACCTGCGGCCCACAGGAACACCACAATCATGTGACTTTACCCCAAGCAGGATCTCACAATTACATTGTGTTACACAAAAATTCAATATTAACTGTAAATCACCCAAAGAAATTGGTGGCGCAATAACCATTAGCTATGTTTACATGTAACCTAATAACATTGATAACTGGATTGATGGCTCAATCAGATTGAAAAGCCTTCATGCAAACACCTCAATCAATCCAACTGAGCTTGAACCAAATGAAACTGATCAGATTGTAATAGGTTAGTGTACAAATGTACTAATTCAATTAACAGGAAAGAACTAAATGCTTGAATTTGAATATCTAAATATATATCGGATTCAAAACCACTTGGACACATACGCAGTTCTGTGATGCGTATGTTTACATATATTTTGTCATATTTTCGTCTTTTGGTCAGTGGAGGAGACAGATTAACATGGTTTTTGTTCGCAATACACGTAAAGCACATGTAAATGAATATGTGACTTGGTTTGCAGTGTTTAGGGTTCATATAAACAACTTTCAGAATCTGAAATCAGATTGAATTCATTCCCACTGACAAAAATTAGTAGTGCATGTAAACATACTTACTAATTGAATGCCTTTGATAGCATCATAAAGCACTTCACATAATACTTCTTTTATACAAAACATTCTCTCTCAAAAGAAGTACTTCAGTCTTTTTTTTGTTGTTTTTTTTTGAGTATCAGGTGGTAATACCATGGTACTTTGACATATGGGTAGTTTTTACCAATTTTTACGTATTTATTTAAAACAAGAGGAAAACTACAGAACATTAAAAGAAAATTTAATGTGGAAATTAGTGCACCAAAATTTTGGCAATACAAAAATATTCAGTTGCATTTTGATAATGTCTATTTCGTGCACGCAAAGTGGATAAACTACAACAGGTAAAGATGTCAGCTGTGCAAACACTGAGGCTGTGCTGAAAACATCGATTTCTCATTTTTTTGTAAATCTTTTATTGTGATGAAATTTTGGTCAGTGCCGTTTTCAGTCGATGCGCATTTCAACTGCAGAAAGAGATCAATAAAACAGCTTGTAAACAACGTGACAGAACCTCAGGAAAGCCTTTCATGTTCAAAGCTCGTTAATCAACTAGAAAAAAACACCACTAGTGAGGAGCATTTTGATAAAGATATGCACTAGATTACGCATGCTTTATTAGCTAGTTAGTTTAAGTCTTCATTAATGTCTGTTTAAATCTGTCATGGAAACTTTCGGTATCTGTTACAATAAAAAAATATATAATTCTGCAGAGTGCTTTAGATTTAATTTAGCTTCCACCTATTTGAATATTCCCCCCCCCAAAAAAGGTAGATATATATTTTATTTATAGATTTTTAACATGAAACTTAAGAGGGTGTCAGAGGACTGATCTGAGATCAGTGAAGCTGAACATATTTCCAACTCACTGGAAAGACTTCTATAAAGCCTTTGCAACTTTTTAAGGAGGTCAAAGTACATGTGCTTAAACTGCATTTTGCACATTTTTTCTAATTATTATACATTTCTATGACCATATTAATTGAGAGATAAAATGTTTGTATTTTAAGTATTCATTTGTCACACCACATGACTGTTTAAAATGAACTACTGAAGGAAAAAGGATTTAAATAAAAATGAATAAAAAAAAAATACTATGCATACACACTCTTTCCATTTTACAATTTTATAAATGCAGGTTCAACAAGGGGAAATAAAGTAGAAAAAAACAACTCAAAATAAACTATAAGACTAAAGATCCTCCTGAAAGTAATAAACTCAATATAAAATAATAACTCAAATAATCGCAGAAAACAAAAAAAAGAAAAGATCATCACACTGCAGGGAAGGGGGAAAAGACACCGTGACACAGACGACACTGTGCTCTGACAGTAACAGAGATCAACACTGAGCAACCACACAGCTTTATGACCTCTTACACACCAGCAGCTGTGAGCAATCAGTGCTCCAGCGTTCTGATTGGTGCAGGAGGAGTGGGCGGAGACTACAGCAATCAGACAATGAGAGAGTGAACAGTGAAGGACACGCCCACACCTCTCTCTCTCTCTCTCTCTGGCACAAACAAAGCAGTGTGTAAAAGTAAAACCATAGTACTTTGACTTATATTGTATATTCATATACCAAGGCATTTCCAAAAATACTATGGTACTACTGTGGTAAATGTCCAAAAAAACTAGTATACTCAAGATCATTTTCAGTAAGTGAAAGAAAAGCATAGTGCTACATGGTGCATGTGCAAAAAACATAGTAATACCATGGTATTTTTTAATAAGTGATTGTATTTTGCTTCTCAGCCAATGAGAACGCATTTGGAATATTAAATTGAAAAGAAACTTATTTTAAGCAGAAGTTGTAGATGAAATTATTTTTTTTACCTTACGAAATTAAACAGAATCACCGCCCAAAACACACCGTAGAACTGCGTGTAACACAGGAAGTATCGAACGTAGTAACTTATACACCACGCGAGGTCCTAAAAGAGATAAGACGAGAAGAGATAAGATAAGGACAGACAAAGTGCTGTAAAATCACATTCAGCTGCATGAACACGGCAAGAGCCAAAGTGATCATGGGAACCTACCACCCAAAGACCATGTAAGATCATATTGTGAAAGATCTGGAACTGGAAATAAACCGGAATGAGCAAAGGCGGTCCAACTGAGAAACAATGACAGAAAAAGGTGTTAAACATCAAGCCTAGTTGGTGGTTTATAACTCGTCCTACAGGATGGAGATATTTTTAGTGAAAATCATAATCTGCACATAATCAGACATTTTGCGGTAATTTTAAGAAGAAATTTGCAAAAAAGACATGATAAAATGTGCTAAATGGGACTCTTAATGATAACACATTGTCAAATTATTAATATATGGCAAAATATTTAATAAACATTTAAGGTTTGGTGAATGTTTAATATATTACTTATATAAACATATATTTATATTATATTATATTATGTAAATTCTACATAAATAAATGAAAATTTATATTTATAAATGTTACATTTCTATTAATATAAATTATATGAAAATTAAGCGATATTTGTTTAATAGAGGATTAAGCAAACAAAAAATACATTCAAAACACTACAAAACCGTACCGTACCAGACAAACTTCAG